CGCTCTCAGGCTGGCCAGCCCCCCACCCCCAAAGCCCCAGCTGCCACTTTCACTTCTGTCTCCTGAGACCCCAGAGGGAAGTTGGGTGGGGAGATAGAAGGTGGCACTCTAACCGTCCCAACTGCCCTCACCTCTCCTCAGCTGAGGCTTTGGATGTCCCAGATCCTGTCTACCAGTCTCATCTAAATGACTGAAATGGGCTTAGGTTGCAGTGCAAGGGTTGGCTACAGTGAGAGGGATAGTGGTTAGATAGCAAGAAGGACATCCCAGGATTGGAAAACCACTGCTGGGCTTCATTGTTTGGGAGGGTATGGCTGAAAGTGTAGATACTATAACTGGACAAGCAGAGGTCAGTTTGTCTGACCTCTTCCACCTTCATGCCCTCCAGGTGTTACTAGCTGTCCATGCTTGATTGGGTGGCTCCTAACAAAGCAAATTTGAGCCCTAGAAACTACTTTGAGGCCAGTAGCTCTGCCCTGGGAAGCCCCCTCTATAATCTTGCATCTCTGTTGCTTACTATACTAGGCCATTTCCTCTCATTTGGCACTCTTGCAAGTGGATTTTTAAAACAGGGATAGAAGTAGAAGTTTACCACCCACCTCATCTTCCTGCTGCCCAACCTCTGCACCAAGGAGAAGAATGGAGTTTTTTTCCTGGTGAGCTGCAAGGCAGTTGTGGAACCAGTACCCTTCATCACATGAATCTTATCAAATTCCTCAGGCTTCACAGTTTGCTGATTCCCCATAACTACACCCCCCCCCCCACCCTTCACCATCTCTGCCTTGACAGGGACCTGGACAAGTGTGGAGACCCAGTTGGTTGAGAGCTGTAGATAGTATGGGGAAGAGGGGTTATTTATCAATTTATGAATACTTTTGGGAGGAGAAAGATGGGATTGGAGGCCTGAGGTACCAGGAACTCCACTTGGGATCCCTAATTGCCTAGTTTTGCTGGGTGGCCCAGGTCCTAGAATGAAAAGTTGAGCCTGATGGAATAAGGTCAAGAGACACTATACAAATTCCCATGCAAATGAGAGGTGAGTCATTGCTGATTGGACTGCTAGGTTGGAACCTGAAGCAAGACTCAGGCTTGGGTCCCAGAACTGGCTCCACTAATGACCACAGTAGTGACCTTGGACCAGTCACTATTCAGTAACCGGAAGCAGGATCTGAGACCTGAGTCTGATAGGTATTCTAGGTGTGTGAGGGGATTAGGATGACTGAAGCTGCCCCCAGAGCCGTGTGTGCCCCACCTGGCACCTGCCCTGGCTGACCATGAGCCTCTGTCAGCCCTTGGCCATCTGTTGTGGGGTTTACTGTTCAGAAAACACCTCCTTCTTTAGCTCCCCTCCCTACTCTCCTCTGGCCTCCACATTGCCCCCCTCCCCACTTAAGCTAGAGGACAGTGGACCCAACCAGGCCATCTCTGCTCTTACCTTTCCATTGAATCACACAGTTCTGACCTTTCTTCCTTTTGGGCTCTCAGAAGAGCACGGGAACTGAATGTTCAGGCTGAAAGGGCACTTAGGTACCTAGTCCACTCCACCCATCCATTGTACTGGCCAATGGGTAAAGCCTGGAGGGAGCAGTGACTTATTCAGGATCACATAGGACTTAGGGCCAAAGCAGGGACTAGAATTAGGTATCCAGAATCCCTGCCCAGTGCCCCCATATTTCCCTGGGACCCACCAACCAACCCTTTTCTACTAGGATTCAATCTCCTATTGCTCTCAAATTCTTCCTGAGATCAGGCGGGGTTGCTCTAGGAACTTGTAGGGGTTTGAGGGAGGTTCCTAGGAGCCAGCCCAGAGGCCACCAGGGGAAGGCCAGAGCTGGGGTGGGAGGTGCTGGAGCCTGGGAGGACAGGCTGGCCGCTGCCTCACAGCTGCCACAGGAAGGATGAGAGCTAGACTACAGGAAGGACAAGCTAGGGTGGGGAAGCAGTGGAGGAGGCTCAGGAGACAGACCCTCACTGGAGAGGCATCTCCTGGGCAGAGAACAGGATGACCCCATCCCAGGAGACCTGCCAAGGAGAAGAGGGCTGGTGGAAGCCTAGGGTGGGGCAAGGGAGAGTTGTCCAGCGGAAACCAGAGGGAGGGCTTTCAGCCTTGCTCCCACACTGGGCGCTCCTCTTGGCAAGTCAATTCCTGTCGCTTAAGCTGAGGCTGTAATGCCCTGCCTCCACTTGCATTCCTAGGGTGCCTGGGACCTGAGACCACCCCTGCTGCAGGTCCAGCTTTCCTGGACTGGTCTTTCCCCCTTCCCCCAGCCGACAGCCCGCCCCCAGGTCCCTTGTGGGTGAGTTAAAATTAGCTCAGTGCCCAAGCTAAAAATAGCCCCTGCCCAACCCTGAGGCTGCTGGGCTGGGGGAGGGGAGTCCCTGAGGGAGGGGAAGATGGTGGGAACCAGGGGTTTGGGTAGTGAGCCTGCCAAACAGAACTTTGAAGGGAGGAGGATCCAGGGTGGGGGCTGCTTGTGCTTTTTAGAGTAGACCATAGAAATATGGGGTGAGTGCAAAGGAACTGCCATTCGGGAAAGGATGGGGAGACAGGATGGAGCCAGAGAGTAGTGGGTGGGGAATGGGGGTGGATTGGGGGCTGCTGAGAATTGGGCTGGGGGAAGGGGCACTGCCTTTGCCCAGACTTGGGAGAGGTAATAGCCCCCCCACTTCAGGACTCACTTCAGGACCAGCACAGTGTTTGTGAAGGAAAGGCTCCCTGTCCGGGGCCTCATCTCCTGGTGTCTTGGGAACCGTCACTGCGCTCACCTTCCCACCCATCTTCCAGGGCTCTTCATCATGTGCCTTTGCTTAGAGGGAAGCACTCCCAGGGCTGTGATTCAGAGAGTGAACCCTGGGCTGGGGTGGGAATGGAGGTCGTACCCAGGGGACTGAGAGTGCCCTTGGGCCTTGTGCTCACCTCTGCCCACTCTCAGGACCTGCTTGCCCTCAAGGTTGGGCATAGTCCAGAGCCTCAAGGGCTGAAATGCTTCTTCCAGCAGGGGAGGGAGGGAAGTGGGCCCAATGCAGGCCCCCAAGGGCCCTCTCGTCTCTCCCTGCCCTCTCCCAAGGGGGACCTGCCCTTCTTTTGTCTGTCTCTTGGCTGGACTGCAAGTTTTCAGGGCAAGGATGGCGTTCTGTTCAGTTATGCCCACGCGCCAGGCATGGCATCAGGGTCCTGTTTCTTGTTCTCTACCCACTTATCTCTGCACCTTTCCCTCTGTCTGTTCCTGCCTCCCCCCTCTCCTCTCCTGCTCTCCTTGTCTGCCTTTGCACCACACTGGCCTTCTTTTTGGCCTCTCTACCTCTTCTCTGTCTCCTTTCCTACGTCTGTGTGTCTGTCCCCCTCTGCCACCCCCTCTGTGTTTGCCTCACCCGCGCCTCCTCCCTCATTAGTAAGCAGGCTGCTTGAGGCCCCCTGACTGGGGGTGACAGGTGGATTGGATTGTCACCCCCTCCCCCAGCTCCTGCTGCTTATTTCATGCCCTGCAGCCCAGCCACAGGGAAGGGGCGGGAGGAGGGATGACAGCTGTCTCCAGCGCCTCCTACCTTCCCCTTCAGTCCACAGCCTGCCGCCCTAGGCAACCTAGGAGGGAGGGATAAAAGGCCCACTTAATGAGAGCTGCCTTTCTCACCATGTGGAAGAGCAGAGTTGAAACCATTGCTCTGTAACGGTGATGCTCACTCAGCCTCTCTGGGCATATCTTCCCCATTTGAGCAGCGCTGGTGTGGCAGTTCTGAAAGCAGGTGCCTTGCATTTCCTCTGAGTCTGTGGGACAGAAGACAGATATGGGTGGAAAGGTGCAGGGGAGGAGAGGCAGGTACTCTCCTGACACTAGCCATTGGAAGGCACTTCTGTGGCTCCCCAGGAAGGGCAGCCCTGCTGCAACCTGCCCCCCCCCACACACCGCTCCCCTGCCCCCACTGGCCCCAGGCCATCCTCACACAGGAACTGAGATAGCATCATTCTGAAACCCCTAAAATGGTTTGAATATTGCTCAGGTACCAGGAGGTGTTACGTTGGAGGAGGCTGAGGCCTGCTACCTCTCCCATGCCCCTCCAAACCAAGACCCTCATTAGGGTACATTTACGTACTATCTGCACCTCCTTTGCATGTTAATACAACCCACGTGTTCCCACTGGGTCTGTAGCACGGCTTAGAGAAATGGCTGTCCATGGGATCTTTCTGGATCTCACATGACTCTGGTCCCCTCAGCCCCTCCTCCTGTCCAGAATGTTGTCAGATGAACTTCCCACCCTGCGCCCTCTCTGCTCTCCATTTACGAAGGCGTTTCTGCAGCCCAGCTGCCATCTTCCTTCCCTCTTTGCTCCTTCTGTCTCCACGGGGAAAGTTCTGCCTCTCCCTGCTCCACTTCCCACCCCCAGGAGGTCCACCCTACCCCATCCTGTCCTACCAGCCCTGCCCCAGTGGGTGAATCTGAAGCAGCAGGAGACTTCCAGAGAGTACTTTTGGTGACACACATGCTGCCGGCTAAAGAGGTCATAGCTGTGGCCCGAGGTCAGGATTGGGCAGGCCCTGGGGCCATCAGAGCATGAAGGCCATCCTGGCCACCCCACCACCTCCTGTCTCCATGGCAGCCCTCAGCCCTCCAAGCCTTGGGCTCCAGGAGAAGTAGCCAAAAGCCAGTTTATCTGGGAGGGCTTCCTAGAGGAGGAGCAGGTGGGAAAGAAGAAGAGGAATGGAGCCGGGTTAGGCCAGGGAGAAAAGGCTCACATCTGGAGAACAGATGCCAAGGTCTCTGGCCCCTGGAAGTTGGTTAGGTAATTAGGTAGAGGGCTAATTAAGGAGGTCCAGGTGTTCATTAAAAATCTACCTAATTGGGTAGGAGGGAAGCTTGAACAGGATAGGCCTCCATGCCTTAGATAGGGTCAGTATAGGGTCCTTTGTGGCCATCGAGGCCCCAGCCACCCCTTCTTTCAAAGTCAAGGGTGACTTCATGTTCTTGCCCCTGGGCTTTCTAAGACTCTGCAACAATGTAGAATGGAGAGCAGAGAGGAAAGACTGGTACAGACTGAACCTGCTTTGTAGGAGGGATCCTGGTTAGATAAGGGGAAGGACCCAAGGCAGGGACATCTCCTCTGGCAGTGTTGGCACAAAGATAGGAGGGGCAATGGGGAAGGGGCCATGACAACATGAAATTATAAAAAGTATTTTGGGCTACCTTAGCAGGAACTGGGAATAAATGATGGCCTGACTTCCCTGTCAGAGGATGTTGGATGAATCTCTGTGGCTTCCCTGTCTTCTCAGCCCTGATCCCTCTCGCATCCCAGCTCCCCCAGCATGAGGCGGGGGTAGGGGGGGCGGTATAGGAGATCAGCCAGGGAGCTGGTTGCCAGGCGACAGTTGCCTAAGCAACCCCATCCTCTCCATCTCCATGTGCTCAGGGCTGCTCCTTAGAAGACTTTAAAGTCTCACCCTCTGTACCAGCCAACCTAAGGGTGGAGAGGGTTGAGGACTAGAGTGGCAGAGGTGGTTGGAAGGTAAATGGTTTCCAAATCGACAGGCTTCAAGTACAGCTGGGAGAGGAAGGGTAGCTGGTCCTGTAGCAGGACTGATTAAAGGACCACAAGAAGGACTTCTCAAAGGGTCACAAAGATGAAACAATCCTTTCTTCCTTTATTTCCTGAGCTCCTCCTTACATGGGACAGAGTAGTAAAAAAGACAGATGTGGTTCCTGCCCTCATAGGGGAGCCAAGCATTAAATAGAAGCACAGAATTATAATAATTTAGTCATGATAAGTGCTAGAAAGAAAGGAACAAGATATCGTGAGAGTAAACAATTGGGGGAACCAAAGAGTGAGGTTGGCTTGCAGGAATGACTTTTCTGATTGTCATGAGAGCTAGGAGAGTCTTCTCTCCTAGCTTGGAGGAAGACATAGTATTGGCCATAAGTTGACAGAGGTTACATCTCAGCAAGAATTTGCTTGTGAACAAAGGGTGGTGAGAAGGAGATAGTAAAATGTGAGAGGGAAGGCAGTTAGATACTATTAGCCAGAGGAATGCTGTAATGACTACATGTACCAGTCTGGATTGTGGTCTCCAAGACAGGGCAGAGAGTCCTGTTTAAAAAGCCCTCTTCTTAGCCCCACTCCCCTGCTCTCAGTGTGTCCTCCTAACCTCCCCTGCCAAGCTCTAGAAAATACCAACTTTGGATTGCATTGGAGGCAGGGGAGCTGAAATCCCTGGGCTGGAGCCTTTGCAGTGAGGGTTTGGCAGAGATTGGGGTTACTGGCAGGGAATGGTGAGAGAATGGAGCAGTTATGGGTGCAGGTATCTGCTGGGCCACTCGGGTTGTCTGGCTTGTGTTGGTGTTGCCCTTGGGACCTTGTGAGGGGGGACAGTAGGAGGCCCAGGCCGCATGGAGCAGGTTGAGAACAAGGAAGAGGGAAAGATCATCTCTAGAGGTTCCTTCCAGGAGTGGGAGGGAGCTGCATTGCTTTCTGAAGGTATGTAGACAGAATAAAAGCTCTCTTTCCAGCTGAGCTTGGGAAGGCGTGAAGAACAGTCCTGGTACTGGGAAAGAGTGGAGAGGGGTATTCCTGGTTCCTCCAAGCCCACAGATTTCCTGCCTTCTCTCCTCCATGCCAAGATGTGGAAGCTGAACTTCAGCACCTACTGTGGAACCTTGGGGGCCATGGTTGAGTGGAGCTGGAAAGGCTCAGCCATTGGAAATGGGGGCTGGGGAAAGGGTTTCTAATTACGAGTGTCTGTCACCAAACACCCAGGCTACACCTCTGCCCACCTCCCTTGACTTTGCATTGGGGTCTGTGGCAGGGGCTCTGTGGAAGGGGAACTCTGGAGGGAAGTGCTGGGTTTCTATGGTCCGTGCTCCTCTCACGGCTTTAGAAAGCATGGGCCCTTGCTCACTGTCTCCCCCACCTCCAACTCCCATGCAAAGACTCCTGGAGGGACCCTGGGATTATCATGCATCTCCAGCCCCCAAGGGCTTACCCAGCCTGTTTGGGCATTGCCCACACCCAAAAGCATGCACCTTTTCTGGCTCAGGCTGGGCTGTCACCCCTGTGTCCCCTCCTATCTCAAGGTTGTACAGTACAGGGGCTCCATTTCCCTTCCTGGCTCTGGAATTGGATCTGTTCAACCAGTGGGCTATGACTGGTTTATGGGTGTACTGAGACAGAGTTCCCCGCCTGGTGCCTGCATCTCCCTGGCTTCCAGCAGCTTCTGTTGTGTTCATCAGTAGGCTCTGTATTTTCTCTTTGTGCTTCAAGGTGAACAAGGTTGGGAAGCACTATTCAAACTGAGCTTGGGTTCTAGACTTGGCCCATTCCCTTAGAGCAGGAATCAGTAAACTATGGCCCCTGCTCGTTTGTATAAATCCAGTTTTATTGGAGCACAGCTACACTCATTCATTTATGTGTTGTTTACAGCTGCTTTCATGCTACAACAGCAGAGTTTGGTAGTTACAACAGAGACTGACTGTATGGCCTACAAAGCCTGAAATACTATTTGGCCCTTCACAGAAAAAAAATTGCCAACCTCTGGTCTAGAGGGGTGATTTATTTATTTATTTTATAGCAGCAGACTCCTTCAAAAAAAAATTATAGGCTTAGGGCTACTGAATAAAATGAACTGGTGTGGAAATCTCTGCTTGAAGAGATAGGGGGTTTGCAGCCCCAGCCCCACTCTGCAATAACAGGCTCCAGGGCTCCATGAGCTGAGTGTGAGGATCTCTTCTCTAGACCTGCTCTGGTGTTTTGTTTTGTTATAACTATGCTACCATATTTGTTAGGTTCTTTTTTTTTCCCCTTTATTGATTTTAGAGAGAGAGATAGAAACATCTATGAGAGAGAAAACATCAATTGCATGCCCCCCACTGGGGATTTGGCCCACCATCTGGGCATGTGCCCTGACCAGGAATCGAACCAGTGACCTCTTGGTGCATGGGTCGACACTCAACCACTGAGTCACACCAGCCAGGCAGGTTATGTTCTTTTTTTATAAAATTTTGGTTTTAGAGAGAGAGGAGAGGGGGGGAGAGAGAGAGAGAAGCATCTATGTGAGAGTAAAACATCAATTGGCTGCCTCCTTCATGCCCCCCACCAGGGATCAAGCCTGCAACCCAGGCATGTGCCTTGACTGGGAATTGAACCGGCAACCTGTCAGTGCATGGGACAGCACCCAGCCAACTGAGCCACATTGGCCAGGGCTCTGATATGTTCTTGATACAGGGATGCAGAAACATTCCCATTGTGGCACCAGGTGTGCTGTGCCAGCTGTTCGTGTACTTGGCAGATGGTCACTCAACACATTTTCTGCACTAAGCTCCAGCACAAGAACCACCATTCTAGGCCAGAGGGGCAGCCGGTGAGCCCAGGTGTCTACTTTGGGAGAAGAAAATGGGTGATGTGTTCTCTAAGACCCAGACCCTTAGAAGCCTGGGAACTCCGTGTACTGTCTGACCAGCTGCAGCAGTGATGGTGTGGAAAGGGCCTGGACCAGAGTCCTGAGCTTTAAGTGTGAGGTCCAGCTGTGCCTGCCTGTGGCATGCCATCCCCTTGGGTTGCCACCACGTCCTCATTTTGAGGTTGGGGCTCAGACACTGAGAGTCTCTCCTAGAGGTGTTGTGGGCCTGGCTTGTGTGCCCAAGGAGCAGGGCTGAGGGTTGCTAGGACTGACAGTCCTCTCATGACCCTACCCTCCCAGGAGGCTGTGCAGAAGGTGTCCTGCAGACCATGAACTGAGCACTGGTCCCAGACCGTTCATGAGCACAGTGTGAGGCGTGCCGAGACCCGCCACCCAGCGATCCCCTCCCCTCCCTAGCACTGAGGATCCCCGGAGAAGATGGGGAGGAAAAAGATTCAGATCCAGCGAATCACTGATGAGCGGAACCGACAGGTGAGGAGGTCCTGTAGCCACACAGTGTAGATAAGGGCAGGGAGCTGGCCTCTGCCTCCATTCCTTGCAGCCAATCCAAGAGCATTTCCTGGAGGAAGGGGACTCTGGAGGCAATTATGGAAGGGGAAGGACTGAGCTGGGAAAAGAGGAACCCCCACCTCCTTGCAGCTCTTAGAACCCTGTGTCCCAGAACTCCTGCTGCTGCTGCTGCAACCATACAGACCTATGCCCTTGCCCAGGAGCCATATGCAAGCCTCGGGCCACACCTGGGCATGCCCCCTTTCCCAAGATGAATCCTTCCCTCTTCCTACCCCAGGGGAAGAGCCAGGAAGTCCTTCTGTTCTCCTTCCCTGACCTCGTTATAGTCCCCAGAACAGAGATGTGGAGGTCCGTCCATCTGAATCCTCTGCCTTCAGTGAGTTGGCTGTGGGCTATGTCGTGGCCATGTGTTGGCAGAGGGGTGCTGGCCTGTTTCTTCCCCAGACCAGGGGCTCCTGAGAAGAGAGCTGTGTCACTCTGAGATGGGGGCTCCCAAGAAGGGGCTGTGTCCAGCTGCCTGTAGATGGGGACTCCTGGGCAGTCCTTGACTGAGCCAGATCTGGCTGCCCATCCGCCCACCTACAGGTGACATTCACCAAGCGGAAGTTCGGGCTCATGAAGAAGGCGTATGAGCTAAGTGTGTTATGTGACTGCGAGATTGCGCTCATCATCTTCAACCACTCCAACAAGCTGTTCCAGTATGCCAGCACCGACATGGACAAGGTGCTGCTCAAGTACACCGAGTACAACGAGCCGCATGAGAGCCGCACCAATGCTGACATCATCGAGGTGGGTCCACACATACGGACCCCGCCCACCTCCGCCTGCCACTGAACATCACGTGCCCATGCAGCACGCACCCATGCATGCGCACACACACGTACGGGCCTGCTCATGCACATGCATGTATACACTTGCCCTCCTAGCTCCTCATCTGTGTGCACAAACATACAAACCCTTATCCTTTCACACAAACCCTAGGCTGAGGAGGAAGGAGAGGCAGTAAGTAGATGTCAAGTGTGGCTGCCCACCCAGTCCACTCCCACTGCAGCCCTCTCTCAGAGTCTTTCTTCATGTCTGTCAGTCATGACATGGCCTCTCTCTTCTCCATCTTTTCTCAAATTCTCTCTATCTGTCCCTCCACCTTCTCTAGCTTTTGGTCTGCTACTGCATCTGACTCTTCCTTTCTTTGTCTCCCTCTCTGTTTTCATCTTTTCTGCTGTCTCTGTCCCTTTTTGGGTCCCCATGGCCCTATGTTCTGTTTCAAAGAGAGCTGTTATTGTGAACTGTTGAGAGACATGGGCTTGGGGTCCAGCTCTGGCCTTTACTGGCCACATGGCGTTGGCAGATGGGTTAGCCTCCTGGAGCCTTGGTGCTCACCCACCTCCACGAAATGGGGCCAGTGCCTGCTTTGAAGAGTGTTGTGGGAATTGAATGAGATGGCCCAGTTCTTGCTCCCCACACTGAGGTATTCGTGCCTTGGGCATATGAACTTGTGTCGATGGAGAAGCATCTCGGGGAAGGCACAGGCCTGCCTTCCTGAAGTGAGACTTTAACTCAAAGATTTGGAAGAAATTCCCTTATTTATATTAGCGAAAACAGATTTACTCAGGACTAGAATGTAAAATTTGCATTCATTTTAAAGACAAGACAAGTAGCCCTGGCTGGTTTGGCTCAGTGCTTAGAGTCAGCCCGCAGACCAGAGAGGCCCAGGTTCGGTTCCCGCTAAGGGTATGTACCTTGGTTGCAATTTGTCCCCGGCCCTAGCTGGGGTCGTGTGGGTGGCAACCAATCGATGTATCTCTCTCACATCGATGTTTCTCTCTCTCTTCCTCCCCCTCTTCCTCCCTCTCTATCTGAAGATATATGCAAAAATGTCCTCGGGTGAGGATAAAAAAATAAATTTAAAAAAAAAACAGACAAAACAAGTATCTGTGAAGAAGTTTTGAGCCTTGAGAGGGCAGCTTTGGGTGTACTCCAGACCTATCAGGTGTGTCCCTAATTTGTACGGCCACATGTGAGAAGCTCTGACCTTGGGCAAGGACAGCATATGGGTACATAGTAGGAACTCAGTAAAGGCTAGTTTCCCTGTTTGCCCTTCTCACTCTTGTCCATCTTTCTTTCTGTCTCATTTCTATTTCTCTCTCGTCCATCTTCTAAGCAGAGCCCAAGGACTGAGCTAGGTAAAGCCAGCCTTGATTACCTTACCGTGGGGAATGCTCCATGCCTCTGGGCAGGGCTGGTCATGGGTGATAAGGCAGGGGCTGGCCAGGGCACCACCCCCCCAACCCCCGAGGAACCCTCCCCACCTGTCACCTTGGAAGCACATGTCTCTACACCTAGTGCATTCTCTGGGCTATGCCCACCTTCCATATGACCCTTGCATTCTGATACCTTCCCCACCAGCCACATCTTCACACAGTGCACCAGGAGGGGAGGGGAGCACTGAGGGAGTGGGCTGGGGAGATGCGGGGACCCCTGAGGAGGTTGGAGAACAATTAAGGGGCCTTTGGAAGGGCTGAAAGAACTCCAGAGAGATGGGTGTGGGAGAACCCTCACCTCTGCTGACAGTAGTGGTGCGGTTACAGACCCTGAGGAAGAAGGGCTTCAACGGCTGCGACAGCCCCGAGCCCGACGGGGAGGACTCGCTGGAACAGAGCCCCCTGCTGGAGGACAAGTACCGGCGCGCCAGCGAGGAGCTGGACGGGCTCTTCCGGCGCTATGGGGTGAGCCCCACTCACTCTCTCTCTGTTGGCCCCCCTTCCGGCACCTTCCCCCCTAGGCGCTGCACAAGAAGCACAGGGAATGTGAGAGCCCTGAGGTGGACGAGGTGTTTGCCCTGACCCCCCAGACGGAGGAGAAATATAAAAAGATAGACGAGGAGTTTGATAAAATGATGCAGAGTTATAGACTGGCCGTGAGTAGCAGCATGGAGGAGAGCCTCCCTGTGGTGCATGGTGTGGCTTCGCGCCCCGCCCTGGCCCTCTGCTGCCTCTGATGGATGTTCTGCTCTGAGCCATGCTGGGGCTATTGGTGACTCCTGAGGAACCTCTGACCTTGGTTATGATGAACCCGTGACCCTTGCTGAGCCTCACTTGGATGGAGCAAAAGCCAGGAAAGGCCTGGAATGTCCCCCTCACCAGCAAGAAATGTGTAGATGACACGAGATCCTTAGATGACAGGAATGTGGAGAATGTGCTGGTGTCTGGATCTTTTTTGGGGAAAGGGCCCCTTGGGCCTGCTCTGATACCCCAGGCTCAGATACTCAGTAGCATTGTTTAAGGAAGGCAGAGACTGCTAATGGGAAAGGTAGTGAGGTGGAGTGAACACCTGCAGTAGGCCGGATGGATGAGAGACTGCAAGTGAAATGATGTCCTGACCCATGGTTCAGGTCTGTAACAGCTGTGTGTGAGTTTGGGTCTGTACTCAGGGTCTCTAACCTGCTCCCTGTGTGTCCTGCCTGGCTGAGGACTAACCCACCTCTACTAGGGGGTTCCAGGTGTCCCTAGTCTTGTCTGTAGTGAGAAGAGCCTTGTTCTCATTCTCTGGGCCAGAGCTGGATCCCAGAGCAGTCCCACCCGTGGGCTTCCTCGGGGGGAGTGGCAGGCAGGGCTCCAGAAGGGCCCAGGGCAGAGGTCGAGCTGCTGGCCCTAGCTAGGACGCACAGCCCAACGCTAGGAGAGTCCTTGCCTGCCTTCCCAGGCAAAGTGGGTCCAAGGTAAGGAGTCACCCTGGCCTGACCCTCCCTTTCCATTTTCTGTCTAGTCAGCTGTCCCGGCCCCCAACTTTGCCATGCCTGTGACAGTGCCCGTGTCCAATCAGAGCTCACTGCAGTTCAGCAATCCCAGCAGTTCCCTGGTCACCCCCTCCCTGGTGACATCATCCCTCACGGACCCACGGCTCCTGTCCCCCCAGCAGCCAGCACTACAGAGGAACAGTGTGTCTCCTGGCCTGCCCCAGCGCCCAGCCAGTGCAGGTGAGTGGGCTGTAGGTGGGTAGGTGAGGCGGAAATGAGGTGTGATAGGGACTTGGGATTCCATTTTTAATAGAGTATTTCCCTTCAGCTGCGCAGCATTCTCTCATTTATGTGGCTCCTGAGGGAAGGAACTATGACTCCTGTCCCTGTTTAGTTCCCAAGACTCGCTCTGGAGAGAGTGTCCAGTCAGCTCACCATGGTTCTGTTTGTCCTCCAGGGGCCATGCTGGGGGGCGACCTCAACAGTGCTAACGGAGCCTGCCCCAGCCCTGTGGGTGAGTACAGCTGCCTGTGCCTGGGGGTGGGGGAGGGTCTGCTTGCTTGGGTCCAGGGACAAAGAAGGACCTAGATTACAGAAGAGGAAGGTCCTAAAGCCTGAATTGGAGGTTGAGTCTGAGGACTTCTAAACCCCGAGCCTTTTTTGCCTGTAGCAATGATTGGTGTGGAACTGTAGGCTCAGGAATTCTGGACAAACTGTTGGAGGTGAAGATCCGAGTTTTTTCAGTTGAGTGGAATGTCTGGTTGGGATCTGGAGGATGCAAATATATATGGCATTGTCGACAAACAACAGGCAGACTCATACACACAGACATTCTCACTGATGGAAATGCCCAGACATTAGATGTGCACTTGTGTGCGCACATCTGTAAGCCCCAGAAGAAAGGCTGCTTCCACTCCCCCACTCCCCACCAAGGCAGCTGACAGTCCCTCTCGCCCTGTGCTGTGGTTGGGCTGGTGACTATGACTTCGAATGTCACCATTGACGTCACCCTGACATTCTTGCCATTCCCAGAGTGATCCGGGAATTGGGATGGAGGCAACCACACACTTACAGAGCAACAGTGACAGAGCAAGGTGACACGTCTGATTGTGGTCACCCCGACATCTCTGGGCTTTAGAATTCCCAAGCTTAGCACCAAGCACCTTATACTAGCTTTTTGGCAGTAATTGTTTATGGGGTCAGGAAATGGGGAAAATGGGGGAATACCCTTACTCTCTAAGGAGAGGGCCAGAAAAATGCCTGCAGACCTTAAGGAAGCCGCAGTACTTGTAGGCTGTCAGGCCTGGCATGTGGAAAGTGATGAGGGCTCTAGCTTGGCTTCCAGTCAAGCTTTGTGGCCTTGGAGAAGTCATGAATACCTCTGCCAACCAGGCCTCAAGTTTCCTCTTCTGTAAATAGGGCTAATAATATGTGTCCTGACCCTCTTGAGGGTTAGTATGAGGATTAAATGAAGTGACATGCATGTGAAAGCCCCATGTAGGTTGTGGAGTGTTGAGCAAATGTAAGGAGTTATTATGCTTGCTATTACCAGTCTAACTATGGTGATGGCTGGGTCATCAGTCCCCCAGTGCCAGGAACGCCACCACCACTGGTGAATGGCTCATCTTCCCCAGAGCTGTAGGCATCTTGTCATAGGCTGATCCAAATTACCGTGTCACCAGCTCATTGCAAAGGGAGCAGCCTGAGTGGTTGATTTGCTCTGGTGAGCAGGATCCTCACTAAGGCCCAGATTCCAGGCTGCCACCTTTTTCCAACCTGGTCATTGTGGGCCCAGTCGGGGCCAGGTAGTGGGATCAGAAGGTGCTGGACTTCCTGCCCATGGATACCAAAATTAGACAAGGTGGGGAAAAGGCTTGACTGCAGAAGAACCTCTTGATCATTGTGGTTTCCATTTCCAGTGGAGTTTTTTTTGTTTGTTTTTGTTTTTGTTAATCCTCACCCAAGGATATTTTTCCATTGATTTTTAGAGAGAGTGGAAAGGAGGGAGGGAGAGAGAGAGAAGGAGAAACATCAGTGTCAGAGAGACACATTGATCGGTCATCTCCTGCACGTGTCCTGACTGGAGCCAGGAATGGAACCTGCAACCCAAGTAGTGCTCTTGACTGGGAATTGAACCCATGACCCTTCAGTGTGTGGGCTTATGCTCTAACCACTGAGCAACATCAGCCAGGGTCATTTCCAGTTCTTCCTACCAACCTCAGAACTCCTACCACCCAGCCCCATCACGCAGACCTCAGAGTCTCCTCTGATGAACTCAATGATTTGGTAGTAAGGGGTTTTAGGGGAAACCAGAGAGCCTGAGCGTGGTTTTGAGAGGGGCTGGTTGACAGGATTATTGGCATGGGGGCAGTTAACAGGGATGAGGGGTGGGTCCATGTTTTTCCTTTTACCCTCATCTCTTCTCCAGGGAATGGCTACGTCAGTGCTCGGGCTTCTCCTGGTCTCCTCCCTGTGGCCAATGGCAACAGCTTAAACAAGGTCATCCCTGCCAAGTCTCCACCCCCACCCACCCACAGCGCCCAGCTTGGAGCCCCCAGCCGCAAGCCTGACCTGAGGGTCATCACTTCCCAGGGAGGAAAGGGGTTAATGCACCACTTGGTGAGTGGGGGTCTGGATGGAGCAAGGGCAGGGGCTGGGGAATGAGAGACTTGAGGAAGAAAAGAGCCAACCTCCAGCAGGAGAGATAAAGGTTAATCAGCAGTTAGGACTTCCCAAGAGAGATCATGGAAGCATGGCTGGAAAGAAGTCCCAGAGGGCATTACAAAAGTTTGGAACACAGAAGTACCAGCCTCAAAGGCAGTAAAAGGGAACAAGAGATGGGAGAAAATGTTCTGTGACAGGAAGGAGGATAGGAGAGGTCAGCCATTACAGCAGGGGGATGGGAATTACATTGTGAGGATTTCCTAACTGGTAGACATTGGATGTAGCATCTTTTGGAAATTCATCAGGGCAGTGAAAAGCCCTGTGCTTCCAGGCTGCAGAGCCATCCTGCTCCCTTGCAAAGAGGTAGATGGGATGGCTGTGGGGCCAGTGGTGTGAGGGGAAGGTGGAGGCAAGAGACTGAACCATCCTTTGGTTTTATTTCTGCTCCCAGACTGAGGACCATTTAGATCTGGTAAGTGAGGCTGTGAGATGTTTGCTGTGGCTTTGAATTCTGGGTCATCTCATTGCTCTGTGCCCCCCCCCCCCCCCAGCATGGACTATATGCGTGCCCTTGTCCTTCTGCCTGTGTATGTAGTATGTGTTGTTTATTTGGTTATTTGCTGGAAACTATGCTCAGTGCCAAGTGGGATACAGAGGTGAATGGGGCAGGAGTGAGGGGTCAGACATGCATGTGTGTGTACATGTATGTATATGGATGTGTTATTGTTATATTGCATTCAGGCAGGCACACCTTTCTCTGTGTGCATGTGCCTATGCAAGGGGGTGGGCCAGGTTTTGGGCCAGGCTTTGCCCCAGGCATTGTCCCAGGATGCCTGGATCAGGCCCTGGACTGCATTTGCCCTCTGACTCTATTGAGGCCCACTAAGCACTCTTGGAACCCAGGGCAGGACCTCCATAGAAGGGGTACCAGCCAGACAGTAAAATTCATTTTCCAGGGGAAACTGAGGCTTAAGGCAAGGCCAGAGTTGTCCTTGGAGGAAGGCTTCCCCATTTCCCCTCTGTCTCCTGTGCTTCCTCCTGCACAGTCTGTCTCACAGGCACTTAGAGGCACACACAGCCCCTCTTTCTCCCACACACACCTACGTACTCACCCTCAGCCAGGAGTGGGGTGGGGGCTCCTCCCTCCCCAACTCCCTGATGGGAGGCCAGTGAGGCTGGAAAAGGCAGGCAGGCTTTGGCGGCCAACACGACAGCAGTTTCGGCCCCAGCGTGGAGTTGGAATAAACAAGTGAGTCAGCGGCAGATGGAGCTGACAGCCCCACACACGTGTGTGCATACACGCAGGCACACGCTTTCCCTCATAGATGCCAGCACGTCTCTCCCCAGGCATGTGCTGCAGTGTGATAGATGGAGAGCAGACTCCAGCGGGATCAGCCAGAAGACGAGTGGCTCTCCCTTCCCTCACTTTGCCCTAGGAGACAGCTCGGTGCTGGGGCCACAGGGCAAGCATTCCTGTCTGTGTAGGTGTGAGTGGATTAGTGTGGCATGTTTCTCTGGATCTCAGTGTCTCTGAATGCACCAGCACATGTTTGTGTATCTACGGGGCCTCCATGCTGAGGCATCCCATCTGGGCCTTGGGACTTAGAGACCCCAGCTTGGCCTTGGAATGGAGGGCCACGATCAAGCAACCCCGATCTGCCACCTCTTGACAGACCATTTTCTCCTGCAGAACAATGCCCAGCGCCTTGGGGTCTCCCAGTCTACCCACTCGCTCACCACCCCAGTGGTTTCCGTGGCAACACCGAGTTTACTCAGCCAGGGCCTTCCCTTCTCTTCCATGCCCACCGCCTACAACACAGGTGAGTGTTTGGGTGGCCTGAGCTGTATGCACATGGCCTTGGGGCAGGAGAGGGAACATGAGATATTCTCTGGGGGACTCCCCAGTCTGAGGAAGACCATTGATTTGGGAGAGCCCCTACCTAATTAAGGTTGCCAGATTTAGCCAATAGAAACATAGGATGCCCAGTTAAATGTGAATTTCAGATAAAACGAATGCTTTTTTTAGTATGTCTCAAAGACATTCTTTTTTTTTTTTTTCTTTTTCTTTTTTTTTATCCTCACCCGAGGACATTTTTTCATTTTTTGTTCAGATAGAGCGGGAGGGGGAGAGAGAGAGAGAGAGAGAGAGATAAAGAAAGAAACATTGACATGAAAGGTGCATATCGAGTGGCTGCCACCCGCACAACCCCACCAGGGCCGGGGACAAACTGCAACCGAGGTACGTGCCCTTAGCGGGAACCGAACCCAGGTCTCTCCGGACCGCAGGCCAACGCTCTAACCGCTGAGCCAAACCGGCCAGGGCTCAAAGACATTCTTTTGCAAAGTATGTCTTGAGGACATATTTATGCTAAAAAATTATTCTTTATTTTGTCTGAAATTCAGATTTAACTGGGTATCCCTTGTTTTTAATATAAGATCTAATGGAGAAAGGAGGCCCTGTCACTCCTTCAGGAGCCTCCCATTAGGAGAAGCCAGGCCAGAGGTGGGCTGAGCAGATGATTCAGGCCACCAGAGTTGGGGAGTGGGGAACCAGGCATGGTCAGTTCGTCGGGGCTTCTTGGAGAAGAATGAAGGAACGAGGGAGAGAAGAGACAGGGAGGCTGAGCAGACCAGAGCAAAGGACTTGTCTAGGTTCCTGGAAGGCCATGGGGGCTGGCTTGGTGGTGGAGTGATGAGGGGCAAGGAGGAGGAAGCCTGATGAAGGTTGAGGAGATCTGAAGGTGACGAGTCACTTGGAGACATGAGAAAGGCCTCTAGGTAGAAGAATTCAGACGGGACACCCAGTGCCCAGGCCGTCCTGGCCTGCGTCACCCACTCCCATTCTCCCAGGAACAGTCTGTGGCACCCTTGGCCTTCCTTGCCTACACTATACGCTGCTGTGGCAGGAGGACACCCACAGGGCAAATGCTTTGTCACTGCTTCAGAGCATGAATGTGGCTGGGGAACCTGGTCTGTTTCCCACTGAGGAGACCTCCGCTGCTCCCCAGGTTCTCTCACCTGCTGGTGACTTGTGTTAGGGCTGTTTTGTGATGAGATCAGACTAGACCAAAAGACCCTTCAACTTCTCTGCCCTCTCCAAGCCCCCATTCTAGAGTTGAACCACACTAGGTCCCAGACATCAGTATAAAGACTCACAAAATCCCACCTCTTCCCCGTGTGTAAAAATCCAGAACCCAGCCCTGTATGTAGCAAAGCCCCTCGGGGCAGGAAGGACAGCTGGAGGAACTGTCTCATGTGGAGGGGGCCAGATTCTGGCATGTATATCTATGTCCAGATTTTATCGGCCCGGTGTCTATGCAGTCCCTTGCTCCTGTGTTTGCTCCCATGCATGCACCACTCTCAGGTGGTTATGTCCTCGGGCAGCTTCAGAGGGGACTGCTTCAGATGGCCGCATCCCTGGGGCCAGTCTCTTCATCTGTGAGAGTTGTGGGTGGACAGGAGGTCTCTGAGGCTCGTCCAGCCCTGCCAGCTGAGGCTCTGGGCCTTACTGGAGAAGCCAGCTCCCTGAGGATGGCAGGGGGTGGTTGGCAGAGGGCAGCACAGACCACTTTTCAGAAGCTGTTATTTTTGGGGAATCCAATGGTGGTGATTTTTTTGCCATCTTCTTGGGTCTCCTGCCACTTTGTGAAGAAGGAAGGAGGTTAGTGGGTATCAGTGAACCTGGGACAAGTGCTCAGCAAGCCAGACTTTAGACTATTTGTCATTGTGGTGTGAGAGCAGATTCTGATGTTGGGCTTGCCCTCGGAGCCCTGCTGGGGGAAGTGTGGCCTTTATCACACGCTCTCAGCAGCTGGGGGCTCCAGTTCCTCTTGCTGCAGGAGTAGTTTAAACAGCACAGTGTTCAGGTGACTAGGAACACAAATAAAACCCTAATGAACACTTTGCTTTTTAGTTGTTTACTGTTTACAGTCCCAGTTCAAGTTCTGGCTGGGGGTGATTTGGCTATGGTAATGTCTTGGTAAGGAACAGGCCTGGCCCCTTGTTGATACTGGCTGCAGAGATCGGGCTGTGGTTACGCTAGGAGCAGATCGAGTGGACTGCCAGGTGGCCTGCAGTCCATGTTCTTATCTAGGAAGAGCTAAGCCTGTTGGGAAGCCAAGTCTCCAGGTAGATAGGGCTGGATTATGCTGGAAAAATGAGGAACTGGGAATTTTGAGTCTCAGCTATTCACTCCCTGAGGGTCGTTGGGCAGGTGATGCACTATTCTGTGGTTGGCTTCCTTGTTTATAAAATGAATGTTTGAAATAGTTGGTCCTAGGGGCCCCTTTTCTGCCGTTGCTCTGCTTTTTAAATATAAGCATCTCAAAGCTCCTGGCTAACATTGTGAGGCCAGAGGCAAGCATGGACCATCTCTCTAGAGTGAGATTTAAAGGTAATAAAGAAGCCTGGGATCTTGTCTTAGCTCTGCCATTGGCTTTCTCTGTGACTTGGGGCATTCCTCAAACTTGAGGCTGCAGTTGCCTCATTTGTAAATTAATGATAACAAGTCAGTCTTTTGAATATTTACTATGTGCCAGACACTATTCTATATACTTCATGTGTATTATTAACTCAGACTTCACAACAGCTGAGTGATATAGGTAGGATTATTGCCTCCAGTTTATAGAGAGTAAGTAGTTTGCCCAAGGTCACATGACCTGTAAGTGGAGGTAGCCAGGAAGTTTGACCTCATCGCTCCTGCCTGTAGCCTTATTGTTGTATTGCAGAGATAACACTGTCTTCTCTGCGTAAAGACACGGCTGGCGTAGATGACCCCTTGAGTGAGGGCATGGTGGTACGGGGTGACGAGGAAAGACATTTTCTAAGCTGTTCCAAACAGGATGCAACATGAAACATAACAGTGTTGAGTAAATTGTGAAACATCTCATGGTTCAGTTCGTCCTGTGACAGTGCAAACATCAGTTTCTTTATTGAGACAGAAATTCTGGAAAAGACAAGCAACACCTCATGGTAAAATTGGTCAGAACCGTGGCCTGCTGTCTGCAGAACTGTCCCTCCCAGCCTCTCTGCCCTTGTAGGCCCTTCTGGGTAGCTGACATGCATCCTCTGTGTGTGTGTGGAAGGGGGGGGGGAGGGGGGCGGGGGCGGGGCGGGGGGGAGCAGCAGCCCAGACCCTGGTTGCTACTTATCTTAAGTGTTGACAGTCTTTAGGAGTCTCTGGACTTTGCAGAAGGTGGAATGGTTAACAGTAAATTGCTTCAGATGTGCCATTCACCTGGCATTTACCATGACTGCCCTCTGTCTCGGAAAGGCACTTAAAGACTTGGGAGTTGAAGAGATGGCTGACATGTATTAGACCTTCCCTGATTTTCTACTCTTCTGTTTATAAATTGACATTGTAAAAGTAGTATCTATACACAGTAAAAAAAAAAAAAAAAGTTAAACAGTATTTAAGAAAGCACCTCTTTTGTCCTGTTGGAAAAACAGCACCCTATGGTTATTACAATCTGCATTTCTTGAACTAGGAGCGCCATCTTTCTGGATTTGTGTGGGTTTTGTGATTATTCACATCTGTCATTAATAGCTCCTTCCATCTCCATGTTCCTCCTGGAGGTGACCCCAGCTTTAGTCCTCTGCCTCCTACTGAGGCTCATCCTCACTTCCCTCCCCCATGCAGATTACCAGTTGACCAGTGCGGAGCTCTCCTCCTTACCGGCCTTCAGCTCACCTGGGGGGCTGTCGCTAGGCAATGTCACCGCCTGGCAGCAGCCACCACAGCCCCAGCAGCCACCCCAGCCGCTGCAGCCTCCGCAGCCTCAGCCCCAGCCGCAGCCGCAGCCTCAGCAGCAGCAGCAGCCGCAGCAGCAGCCCCACCTGGTCCCTGTGTCTCTCAGCAACCTAATGTGAGTCCCTGGGGATCCATGCACATGTTTGGGAAGGGAGAGTTGAGGGTCGGGAAGAGAAGGGATCCTTTTGAGGTTGTCTATCATCTGTGGACAGCATGTGAGGTACCAAATGGCATCCCAGGTACAGGTCTAGGAAACCCACCCTGAGCCCCTCCCCCAGCCAGCCTGGGGTGGGGGTGGGGGTGGGGACCCCAGACTGTGAAGATAACATGAGAGAGAAGGAGAACTAATATGACTTATTTTCCTTCTTTCCCTTCACTTGGCCATCTCTGTCTCTCCTGGTTTCTCTCTCCATCCACTTGTCTCTTCCTCCTCCCTCATATCCCCATCCCCTATCTTCTCATTCTCTGTCCTCTCTCACCCTCTGTCTTGTCACCACCCATCACTTTTTTTGTCATTCACCTCCTCTCCTCTGTTTCTGTCCCCTATACCCCATCGCCTGTCGCCAGCCCTGGCAGCCCCCTGCCCCATGTGGGTGCTGCCCTCACGGTCACCACCCACCCCCACATCAGCATCAAATCAGAACCTGTGTCCCCAAGCCGTGAACGCAGCCCTGCACCTCCCCCTCCAGCTGTATTCCCAGCTACCCGCCCTGAGCCTGGTGACAGTCTCAGCAGCCCAGCTGGGGGCTCCTATGAGACGGGGGACCGGGATGACGGACGGGGGGACTTCGGGCCTACACTTGGCCTGCTGCGTCCAGCCCCAGAGCCTGAGGCCGAGGGCTCAGCTGTGAAGAGGATGCGGCTCGACACCTGGGTACTGTAGCATCACCCCTCTTGTCTGCCAGTGTCTGCTACACCCAGGGACTACCCCGTGTGCCCCCAGCCTGTCTTATCTCCCACCTGAGAGGCCTTGTGGCCAGCTAGCCCTTCCATCGGCCCTTTTAGGCTGCACCGATGCCCTTTACCCCCACCAGAGGCCCATCTCCTACCCTTCCTCCAGCATCAGTCCTTCTGCTCGATAACATCCTCCCCTCAGAGCTGGCTCTGCCACTAGACTCCTGGCCCTGCAGGGAGAGGGGCGTGGGGGACACAAACCCCGTAGCCTGGGCCACCCCTCACACCACCTTCTCCATCTCCTCTCTTCACAGACATTAAAGTGACGGTCCCCTCTCCCCTCCTCTCAGCCTCCCTGATGAAGAGTTGACAATCTCACCGCCCACCCCCTGTCCTGGGCTCCTCCCGCTTGACCCTCACTTCCTTTCTTGTGCTCCGTGTCCTGTTGACGGTTACATTTGTGTATAATTATTATATTATTATTATTAATATTATTTTTTTTTAATTTGGATTCTTACTTTGGAGAAGGGGATGCTCCCATCCCCTCTTTCTGCACCCCCTGCCATTTTCACTGGCGCGGGAGCTCTTTTTTGCGGGAAGCGGGGAACACTTTGCACGTTGTACACATATGCTGCAGGAGGGGGTGGGGGCCCATGGGCCTTTGGGAAAGGACAGGTGCCGAGCCCTGCATGCGGAGTCCTCCCACCCCATCCCCCAGATAGAGGGAAATAACCAAAAAAACTACCAAACAACAAAACCCTTACAATAGACTAAAACCCCAAAGTTGGCTTGATGGTGGGTTTGTGTTTCAGAGGAGAGTGAGGAAGGGGCCCTGCAAAGGGTTTCTGCTTCTGGGCTGTTCCAGTGGCCACAAGCATATGGGGCAGAACACCCAAGCCTGGCCCGCACATACCCCTGCACACGCCTGACACTCACTGACTCTTGTGTGAGCTGCCCCTCCAAGGTGTGGGGGTGCTGGCTGAGCTTTTGGGCTGGGAAGACTGCCTAAGAATCTGAGGCTGGGGGGAAGCTTTGAGGTAGAGCCCCTCTGAAGCACATTTGGAAAGAAAGAGAGCCATGAGGAGAGGGCTGAGGAGGGACAGAGGGCTGGGGCCAGGGGTGAGTCAGGGTCCCTTCCCTTTCCCAGCGTCTTCTCTAAGATACACAGTGCAATAGCTCCTCATCCCTCAGTTGACACCAGCCCTGTAAAGCTGGCCACAAAGTGCAGGGAAAGCTGGGGAGAGGAACTTGAGTGAAGTGACTCAGTGGGAGCGGGCCTTGGTCCCTTCGGGATGCTGGAGGACCAGAAATCCTTTCATCCAAGGGCACGTGTGAGTGAGGAGACTCGCTCCTCCTTGCACATGTATACTCCCAGAGGAGTGGACATTAGGATGGGGTGTGAGGGTGGGAGAGGGGGCCAGGAGATCTGCAGGAGGCCTGCCTCCCTTCTTTCCTCCTTGGCCCCTCTCCCCAGCCCTCCTCCCGGCTCCTGCTCATGCTCCCGAACAGCTCCGGACCCCACCTGCCTGCTCTTGGCACCCTCATCGTCTGGCTACCTCCTGTCCCACCACCCCCAGGCCGCATCCCACCTTCCCTCTTGGCTACTGTAATTGTAAATAGCAACCTTTGGAAAAGTTAGCAGTGTAACAGTCCAGGAAACTGGTTTTTTGTTGTTGTTGTATTGATATGAAATGAGATTCTATTTTTGTCAAAGTATATTGTAATAATAATGACTCAAACGCCCGTACTGTACAGATGAGGTTCTTCTGCTGTTGTTCTTGCTCCCCTCCCCTTGCCTCCTAGTCTGCCTCTCTGCTGCCTCCCCAGGTCCTGGGACCTCAGGCTGGATGACAGGTCGAACTGGAGGGGTAGGCCCCTAGCCCATGATCCACACCACCCTTACCCTAAGGTTCATGGGTAGGCAGACTGGGATCTTGCCCCACTCCTTCATGTAAGCCCAGCTCCTCTGCCCAAGGGGCAGAGCACTCCCTTGGGGTTTCATCCTGGTGGGAAAGCAGAGTAGACAAGGCCCAGTTTCATGCCAGGTGACTACCTTTGCCCACCTCTATGACCCAGACATTTGCAGTATTTGTTCCAATATGAGGCAGGGAAGGAACCAGAAGCAGAGGGGCATGTGGCTGCACATGGACTTGAGTGTATTCAAGAGGGCATCTAGTATTTGTATGTCCAAGTGTCCCTTTGTATTTGTGTGTATGGCTGTGTGGGTCTCAGCCTGTCTAGGCATACACATCATACGCGACTTGAGCTCTGAAGGCGTCTGTGTGCATGCATATGAGCATGTGCCTGGGTATATGTTTACAGAGAGACAGGTGGCTGTTGTAGCTACATCGCCCTGGCTTCTAGTTCCATGACCCTCCTCCCTGAGCCCCACTCCCTTCTGCCCTGCTCCTTCACCTGTTCTCACCCTTGGCTCTGATATTTTTGTCCTGTGGTCAGAAGGGATCTAGCAGTTGGCCCTCCTTACCTCTCCCTGCAGCCCTGCCTCTCCCAGGCTCCACGCACAATTGTCCACCCAGTACCCACACCTTTACACACAGCCCCTTCCCTGGAATAACCTCTTTCCCTCACCCCAGTCCTGCTTTCAGGGTGACACTCAAGTTCCTCTTCCTCCCTAAAGCTTTTTCCTCACCTGATCAGTTCCTCACACCTTAACCCCTACCTGCTGGCTGGGCACACAGCGTGTCCAGTCTTCCTGCAGGTTCCTAGAAGGAATTTCAAGAATCGATGAGACTTGATCAGGGCCATGAAAGAAGAGGATGTAGTCTTGCATGTGTGTGCATCCCCAGAGCCTTGCCCAGTGCCTGGCACATAGTTGGCACTCAATAAATGCTGAATGAGTGAATGGTGTATGATAGGTGCTCAATAAACATTGAATGACTGGCCTTCCCTTCTCAGGCTATTCCTGCCATCAGTCTGTCCACCTTTCTAGGCTGGACTTGGCCACCATTAAACACGGGGTGGGGGTGAGGGCCCCTGCAGTTCACGGTGCAATATTTACCAGTTTTGCCCTCTGCCTTGTAATGGCAAACCTGGTTTTTGATTACCATGTGTGGATGTGTGTGTCCCTTCTTCTCTATCCCTGGGGACAGGGGGTGGTCTGTGAATGAATGTGTGACATTTCTACAATTCATTATCCCAAGATTTCTCTTGGGGGTAGGGGCTCCTGGCCGGCCAGATGAGGGTCCCTGGGAACCCAGACCTCAAGTGCAGACTTCATTTCTTCCTCTTCTCACAAGCCAAATTTGCCTCCACCCACTCCTTCCTCTGAATAACTGGGCATTTGCCAAAGTAATCACTGGAGTCATCCAATGCTCCTCCCCTCCCCAGGTTTCCCACAGCTTTCAGGGACAGTGGGCAAGAGGACCCCCACCCCCACCCCAGTTGAACACACCATTTCCCCTTCTCCCAGCAGTGCACTCAGTACAGCGAGACTGACCCCTGACCCTTACCCAGCCCTCCCCACCTTGGACAGGAAGGAAGTAATGCACCTTCTCTTGCTGATTATTTATTTGTTTGGAGAGACAGAAATGATGTAAAAGTGTATCTAGAAATATCTATATCTATATATTTTTAACTGACTCTTTGGATTCCCCTGGGGTGGGGTGGGGGGTGAATTTAGGCTTTCATAGAGGGGAGGAGACATGGAGCCTGGGAACTCCTCTGTTCTCCCCTCTGCCACCTCTCTCTACCCCCTAAACAGTTGGTAGAAGGAATGGGATTTGCATTGGGGGAGGGGCGCTGGAATGTTATATGGAGAATCTGGATTCTCTCTGTCTTCCCCATTCAAGTCCCAGAGGGAGGAAGGGGACAGGCCACGGAGGTGCCCCATCCCCAAACCCGACAATCACCCACACTCCTGGGGCTCCTCCTGGGTCCTGGGCAGGGCGAGTCTAAGTGTGTGGCTGTTGATTTGTTTTCAATATTTCTTTTCGTGCTGTATGGTGATGCTTTCTTAGTATTCTACACAATAAGAAAGACAAAGTCCTCGAGATTCTTATGAGTTTTGTTTGAAAACTCTTTTCACTATATTTGTTGTAAAGAGGTTTACTATTAAAAGAAAAGAATACACATTTCTGATACTTTGGCTTGGGTTCTGGTTTCTCCAGTGCGGTCGGCTGAGGAGGGAAGGAGGGACTGCGACCCCACCATGGGGAGGCCAAGCATCACATCAGGGGGAAAGAGTGGTGTTAGCCTTCAGGGCGGGCACTTCAGGTGACTGAAGTGGGGTTTCAGGTGAGAATTTCTCTCTTCCAGGTGCTCTGTCAGAAGCAGAGGCAGCCTCAGAACTGTGGAGGATTGCCTTGTTAGGAGCCGTAGGAGGGATCCTGGGATACAAGAGAAACAAAAATTCCACTCAAGGCTAGGTCAGGAACAGGATGGTGTGCAATGAGGGAAGAGAACCTTCGACGACTGAAAACTTGTCCACAGCAGGGACTTGCCGAGGCACCATGTTTGGTACAGATGAAGTTCCCCTTCACAGTGGTCCCACAGAGCTCACTCCAGTAGGGGCATCTGCCCTCCCCTCCCTTTTGAAGCACTTTAACAGTGCCAGGGAGCCTCTCCCTACCCTCTTCACATATTGCAAAGGGCCTCCCCACCTGGTGCCCTGAGGGGTAGGTGACTCTTACTCCCCACACCCTGCACAGCTATGCTTTGGGCAGGTGCAGGGCTGTGGAGGGAAGTGGGCAAGGCTTAGCTAACAGGTTTGGCCACTCCTCTGTACCAGGCCCCTGCTAGGTGCTGCAGAGGCAAAGATGGAGTGTGAGAGGCCAATATCCAGTGACAGAGACAGGCTCACAAATGTCTAAGATCCACATGGTTAATGCTCTGGTTGCTGCATATGCAGGTTGATGCGAGAGCACAGGGGAGTCGGGCCAGACCCAGAATGTCTTCATGCCTTGGGTTTCCTCATCTGCAAATTGCGGTGATCTGCCTCCCTCCCAGGGTCATTGCAAACTGCACCTGGATTCTCCCTCAACTGGAGCAAAGATGAAAGATGAGCTGAGCAGGAAGGGGTTAGGAAGATACCATCCTCCAGGTGAGGCTCCCCTGCTGACTGTCTATGGTGGCTGCCTCTAAGGTGACATCCAGTTACCTCAATGTGGTACTCATGTCCCTGTGTAGTCCTCTCACATTGAATCATAGTTGGTATGTATGACCAGTAAAACTTCTAAAATATATGATTCTCCAAGTGCTTTCCCTGTTGTGAGAACTATGGAAGCACATCAGAGCAGCCTGGATTGCTAAGCTGCCTTAAAGTGTTGTCCAGCACAATAGCGGACTTTGTGTGAATAGAAAATAAATGTGTTAAGCCACAGAGATTTCAGTATTGTGTCTGCAGTGGAACCTATCCTATCCTGACTAATGGATTATCCATTAACACTTGGACAACCTAGAAGCCCCATCTCCTGATAACCCATGTGGTGAGGTACAGATCTCTGGACTTGACATAGTCCAGAACCGGTTCAGCTCTTAATTCTACCACTTACCAACTGTGTGACCTTGGGTCATCATAATTTCCCCAAGCTGCTGTTTCATCGACTGTAAGATAGAGCTAGTAGCTGCCTGTTTTCTTTAACCCCTGCCTCCCCCTTCTCCAGTCTGTCCTCCTATCTTTAGCACAACTCCGATCATCTAACACCTCAGGGTTCTCCACTGCCCACCATATGAAGTCCACACTTCTCAGCCTGGCTCCCAGGGTCTTCAAAGAACCAATATAACCTCTTTTCCAGGCTTAGTCCATGCATCACTGCTGCACATCCCTTGGACTCTAGACTGGCCAGGCAGCCCACTCCATTCCTGGACAGATCCTTTGTATATCTTTGCTCATGTCATTCTTCTCTCTGAAATGCAATAAACACGTATTAAGCATGTACTCTAAAATTATTTGTTAGCTACTGGAGATACAGAGAGGAGCGAGGCAGCTGTTGCCTCTCAGCAACTCAGTCTAGTGGGGACAAGAGCTAAGGGAACCAACCATTGACACTTGAGTCAGCAGTCTGTGTTAAGTGTTATATAGGATGGATACAAGTGGGTTGTGAATCAGAGACAAGGTACACCCAAATCCAAGCCAGTGGAGATCAGGAAATCTCCTTCGAGGCGGTATTTAAATGAGCTGGATTTTTAAGACATGAAGTTTCCCAGGCAAATGAGGGCAGGGAAGGCATTCCCAATAGCAGGAATAGCATGTAAGGTATGGAGAAAGAATGGTGCATTCAGGAAATCCAATACTGTGGCAGGTCAAAGGAATAGATAAAGCTGAAGAGGTAGGCAGAAGCCTCATTGTGAAGGGCCTTGATTGCCATAATCTGGACTTTATTCTGCAGATGTTGGTCATCAAAGGATTTTAAGTAGAGGATGGATGTGATCTTATTTGCATTTCAGAAAGCTGCCAGTACAAGCTCTCTCTCAGTACTGCAGAGAACCAGTTGAAAGGAATGCAAAATTGAGGCCCAGTTAGGGTCCTTTACAACTGAGAGGGAGAATTTAGTGGATATTTGAGAGGTAGAATTACAGGACTTGGAAACTGCCTGGTGAAGGTAGTGAAGGAAAGAGAGGAGGGTCAATAACTCCCAAACTCATACTTGGACTACTGACTGGACGGTGGTGCTGTGGCTCCAGACAGGGCTACCATGTATCTCCTGAGATTTTAGAGGAACTGAGTTGGAAACACGTTAAAGCTCGATGGTGCGTTCTTTGGGGCATAAAAGGGAGAAGGGATACTTTGCTCCCCAGTGGTAATTGCAGGGTTAGGCATGGTGGTTAGGGTTGTGGGAGCCTTTGGAAGATCTGGTTCTAAAGGCCAGAGACACCCAGTGCCACCCTAGGGGTCACTGGTTTTCTTTTGATAAGGGAAGATGACACTTCTTTACTAGGTACCTGGAAGATATTCAGGAGCAACCACCTGGTAGACTTGTGAGACGTTAGACCTCTTCATGCCTCGGTCCTTTCCTGTGTAAAGAGGGTTGGTGTGAGATTTAAGTGAATGATACATATAAATTAAAACCATTCCTGACCCATAAGTGCTCAATAAGTGTTAGTTATTATTATTATTGCTACTTGTCAAAGACATGAAAATAAATAAGCATACTTGGGTAAGGAGAGGTCTAAAAAAACTGTTCTACACCCCTATTTCTATCTTTGAAAACTTTCCTATCATTCAAGATTTTACTCCTACAACTTTCCCACCATAAAACTTTTATTTCCACTGTCCTACCCAGCTAGCTGGGTTCTTCTCTAATGGGGTGTTAGAATCTGCCCCTTTATAGAACCAGCCTCATTTTTCTTGAAAACGTGAGTACTGCCCTGGCCGTTTTGGCTCAGCAGTAAGTCGGCCTGTGGTCCAGAGAGTCCCGGGTTCGGTTCAGAGAGATCCGGGTTTGGTTCCCGCTAAGGGCACGTACCAGTTGCAGTTTGTCCCCGGCCCTGGTTGGGTCGTGTGGGTGGCAACCACTCGATGTGTCCCTTCCACATCGATGTTTCTCTTTCTCCCCCACCCACTCTATCTGAACAAAATATTGAAAAACAAACAAAAAAAGTGGGTACTAATTTCAGTTTTCTCTTTAAAACTGGACTGAAAGCTCCTTTTAAAAAAGGCACTGCCCAGCCAGTGTGGCTCAGTGGTTGAGTGTTGACCCATGAACCAAGAGGTTTGTTTCCATCAGGGCACATACAAGGTTTCTGGCTAGATCCCCAGTAGGGAGGGGTGCAGGATGCAGCCAATGGTTGTTGATGTTTCCATTTCTCCCTCTCCCTATATTTTTTATTTTATTTATTTTTTATCCTTATCTGAGGATATTTTTCCATTTATCTTCAGATAGAGTGGGAAGGAGGGAAAGAGAGAGAACCATCGAAGTGAGAGAGACACATCTATTGGCTGCCTCCCACAAGACCAGGACCGGGGCTGGAGACAAACTGCAACTGAAGTAGGTGCCCTTGACAGGAACTGAACCCGTGACTCTTTGGTCCGAGGGCCAACACTCTAACCACTGAGCAAAACCCGCCAGGGCTCCCTCTCTCTCTCTCAAAAAAATATCAATAAACACATTTAGAAAAACAAAACATGAAAACACACTGCCTCATCCCTTTTTGTGTCTGGCTCAGTGCCTGGCACACAGCATGTGTTCCGTCAGACGAAAATGAGATAATGCATGTAAAAGTGCATTTGTAAACTAGGAGTGCTACAAACCCAAAGGATTCTTATTCTTTCAAAGGTGTGGTGACTTTCCCCAGTTTTACTTTCCAGCTCCAGGAGCACCGGATAAAATGAGGCTGAAAAGAGAGTGGATTCGTTCACTGGGCTTGGCTATCATCAGTCCACTGAAGGATTAGCACCTACTGGGCTCCTACCCCCCCCCCCCCCAAAGAGGTGGCACTAGGGAGGCAGGAAGCAAAGGATGGCAGGCATCTGATTGTTCCAGCTAATGAGGCCAGGCCAGTTCCGTGTACCTCACATTCTGACTCACCCCTTAGTCCTACGGGCTGAGTAACTTCCAGCCTTGTGATTGTGGAAACTTGTTTCAGGAACATCTGGGAGATGTGAAAGGGGCGTAAGGTGACCCCACCCCAGGCTCCAAAGTGGCTCCTACTGGAGCCTATACACGCTGCGTGTGTCTGTTTACAGACTTAAATGATTCTGTTACTGCCCAGCTAAGGGACAGATCTGGTGCTATTAGCCAGATACCCCGCGTCTGTTTACAGTTGGTAAACCTGAGGCCCCAAAGTTAAGAAGCAACTCTCAGGTTCTTCCCACAGCGCCTTCCGTAGTTCCTGGATAGATCTAGTTCAGATCAGCCTGCAGGCCCAGGATTAATTGCTTCCAGAATTGATTGATTTGTTTAACGCCCATCCCCCCTTTGCTTTGTACTCGTTTCCACAAGTTTACAGCTCTTGGGCCTCGCTGGGGCAATTTGGTATCTCGTAAAGGGCGGTCCCTGCCTCCGCAGCGTGGCGGCCCAGAGTCACTCCTATTTACTGCGCATCAGCCGCCACGTGCCGAATAAAACCTGGTGACTACGCTGTGGGCCCAAAGAGGAGGGGAAGTGTCCCGCCTACAGGGAAGGTCACGCGCCCGCCAAGCCCCGCCCTCACGTGACCATGGCGCCTGTCCTGGCGGGTCACTAGCCTCCGTTGACAGCGGCTGCGCCGGCCAGAGACGGGCGGGGTCCATGGAGCCGTTCAGAGTTCGGGAAGAAGAAAATTTCCATCTAAGGCGAAGGGCGAGTAGGGCGGCAGAAGGGAATAGAGGCACTGGTCTAACCTGCCCCTCTAGACCGTAAGCTCCCAGGAAGCAGAGAGCACCACTCCAAAGCGCCCCGCCAGTGTCTGGCACACTGCAGTGCCCAGTAAGTTTGGTGGCGACTACCCCGCTGACGCTGCCAGAGCAGAGTCGAACCCGCCGCCCATTACACGGGCCCTTTCACTCCTCATTCACCCTCTGACTATGATGTGACGAAGAACGCAATCATTTAGCAGCCCGTGAGCCTACGCTCCCAAGCCCACTGCCTGCGCTGGGACAAGCTCCTCAGTCGGTGGTCCACAACTGCATGGTTGCCGACAAAGACCCAAACCCT